CAAGATATTTCGGTCTCGAACGTGAGCGTGTGCTATTCTGCACCGCAACGCCCAATTGCCCGACGTATAAGTAACCACCTCTAGTGGTTTTCTGCGTCCTCCAGACATCCTGCATGAATACCTCCTACTATGGACGCTGCAGTTCTTTCATTTTCCCAAAATTCAGAGAAAAAGGTGTACCTACCTAACGCACTTAACGAGAAATCTTCTGGACTGTCTTTTCTGGACAGCCCTCAATCTCACTGAATATCTCGTCCCAACACCTAATCTGGCGTCTTATTGCCCTCTCTGGTTCCTGCCTATACTGTTCGTAATAGCGTCACAGCAATAAATATATAAATCAATAATGGCAAGTATCTTGAAGTATCGCTATTTCCGGCTTGTGTATTTGATATCGATTGCTACCAGGGAGTCGTTAAACATCGAGTGGGCTTTTTATAAACTGCCCTTCTTAATTCGTCAGTGCCAACATGAGTATTTTATTTAAAATCGTGCAACACAGAACCCTCTAAAACTAGCACGGATTACGAACGACTATCTTCATTCATTTGCGGCATTCACGACGAATGGCGTCAGGAGAACAGACCCATATCATGGTAGCTGCACTCCGGAACTGCAAGCCGTCGGCTAGAATAAGGTGAGTGCTGTTTAGTTGGATGAAGAACGTCAAATAAAACAAGCTGAGCCATTGTACCCGAGCACCGATTCTCGGGATTGCGGCTGCCTAACCCCTTTTATTAGACCGAAGCGTGTATGGGGATGCAGTAAGATATGTATTAGAACTGATGGAATGGTTTTCAGAACAAACGAAGACGATCGGATGCAGTACGCCACTTTGTTAACAGGCAATGAGCTACGCTTTACCAGAACATGGACCAGATTGGCTCACGGCACGTGTTTATTGGGCTGCGCTAAGTCCGTACAGGCCTGTGGCACGCCCTAGACACCGCGTCAGCCACTGCGTCCAATCCCAGCAGCAGCTGGCTGACAGCCTCGGGCAGTCAACCAGTGCATGGGTGAGGGAAGAGAGAACGAGGCCGGAACGGCAACTCAGCACATTCCTTACCGTATTCAGTGTGGCACGCTTTAATCTATCACGTGGGCGAGGGGTCATGCCTTTGTGGGTTGCCAACTGACGGGATGACCCGACCGTTCTCAGGACCCAAGTCGGCTCTGTGGCATCCTACTATACGAGCCTCCGTGAACATACGCTTGAGCATATAGAGCGGGGACCAGGTTGCACCTGACAAACGGGCTGTTTGACTTCGTCAGTCATTGGGTCTGAAATCATGTCTGGTCGTTCTCACTCTGTCCGGCCATTGGAACTAGGCGGTAGGGAAGGGGGGGGTAGAGGATGCAGTACAAGTCTGCTTCAAAAGAAACAAATTTACGCGCGCACCACTGATGCGGGACATCTCATCGGGCAATGGTGGACTTTGCCGATCCTGACGGTTGGACGCTCGCATGTTCACATGTGAATACGCAGCTGGAGTAGTGAATGGCTTCAGAAGCACAGGAAGGCTTCCAAAAACAACAATAAAAATCGATGACGAAATTGCGCGTTGCATTTCCAGAGACAGCGATGTCTTCGGCTGATTACAGCACTTCGTCTGGAATCGTTACGGCATGCATAAAATCAAGGGATATGTAGGGCGGTTGTATGGGAAAGCGACGTGGGCAGTATATCAAAGCCAAGCAAGTAAGTCCAGTAATCTTCAAGCCAACTGCTTCTGACGAATGCTGAAGTTGAAGCCTCAATATAGACGATATGCATCTTCTTTCAGACTGCAATTAACTGAACGTTACCCCCGGGCATGATGCATTTTTTACTCGATTTCTCTAAAATAGCGTGCTAATTTAAATCGAACGGATTAGGTAGCATTTATTTCAAGGGTTTTTCTTTCATTTTCTGGTGGCTATAGGTCTCACACATTCCCTGTACTCCGTAGAGAGAGACCTGCCTAAGCTTCCGAGATGCAGCGTGTAGCAATTTTTCAATAGAAAAAAATCAACAAAATTAAAAATGGAAGGTACATGTAGGGCGCCAAAACAGTCAGATAGGTGCTGGCGAACTGTGTGCACGACAGTGATAAATGAAAATCTGGAGACTTGGTGTACTGCAGATCACAGTGCTCATATAGGGCTTTCCTCTGCATCCCCTATAAGGTCTTCGCCTCGAGGCGTTAACATCCGTCTGGGGCCCTTTTTACTGATCTCAAGGAGATGTCCCTGGTGATTTCCCTGAAGGAATATAACCCCTTGGAAGGAGCAAGACCCAATTCCCGGGGCCGAACATATTCCGACAGCGGTATTGTAGGTGAGGTGGAGTGAAATTATGCACAGTACGTACATTAATTCCATTCTCTCCCATTTTTAGTTTTCAAATACGGACAAATATCCTGCGAGCCCCAGTTGCAAACCCCAAATACCGCCACGAGTAGACGAGATCTGCAGTGGTGGGACTCTTGGTTCTACAGTGATGTTTGTGTACTACGTTTACGGGAGGAGAATTCCAGTTTTACATTTGGGTGTAAGTCAGGATTGCTGTCAGTAGTGGGATTCGTGCACCCTTTTTGCATTCTTTTACTCAGCAGGTAGGGTTTTTATGTAGTTTAAGCCCTGATGGAGTCGCTCGAGATTCATAATTAACCTTAATCCTACGTAGTTGTCACAGAAATTATGAACAACAACTAGTGGTGCTCTCCAAGTGCACTTGGGATGGCCTTTCTGTTTACTTGCGTTACCGTTTTCAATCTCCTAATTTCCGTTGAGTATTAATCCGATGGTGCAGTGTAGTCCGTCTAGGTGTCAGACTGAACATTTTAGGATTAGCAGCCTATTTTGCATTTACTAGAGACGATCCTGTTTGATGGTTGGTGATAAACAGACCTCGGATAATAGCTAAAAACCTCTTAGAAGTCCGACTCTAGATTGTTTCATCAGAAACCTGGTGGAGAGGGGCCGTATTCTGCTACTGTCCAGTATTTCTTGGAGCATCTGGTAGATAAACTCTTCTACTTGATATTTCGTTAGTTCTCTTTGCGGTCGACGTGGAAAACCCACTACCAAGTACACTCGTCATGCCATACGTTCCAGGGTTGTGGCGCGTCAAGACACTCCAGTAGAGGTGAATTTAGTAAAAGCTGACGGCGCCAATGGAGATACTTCGGAGGAAGTTACAGACTACTGCCCGATTCCGGTTGAACCCAGTGCGTCAAAAAACCTTCAGTTAAACGAACCTGGGTCTTCTTGTAAATTTTACAGAGGCCAAGAAACTGTCCGTATAGGCACAAACCACCTCGCGAGACTTAGCAGCGTTTTCATCAGTTCATTTCTCGCCGTCAATTCTTCATTTTCCCCTTCCATTGTAACAGAGGGTAATTGAATTGGCTTGTTGTTTTTGTAGGCGGCCGGATCGTGTGTTTCTCTCAGCATAACTCAGAGAAATTAGCGAACCGGCCAAGCAGTCGCTTGTATGGTTGTCTAGGAGCACACGACTGTGAACTCGTTCATTAGTAATATAGCCGAGAAAGTCTCTTGGGATTCACTTGCAAAACGCAAGTGCTGAATGAACTGCCAGAACCCCTAATCATATGCTCCACCGATGGGAGAGAATCTTTTCAGTCCCAGAGCCTATAAACTACTTCTGAAAAGAATCAGTGTGCCTGTCCTACGCCCTGGAGGTTGGTGTGGTTCTCATAACACCGAGTTGTCGCATTGAAATCCCTTGGGGGTCAAAAAATCGGACAATGCAAGTTCCGGCATCCGCAGCATATGATAATCGTAATTCGATCTGTCCGAGTGATATCACATCTCGAAGCTTAAATTCTTGCGGACTAGCATAGGCGACAAATTGTACCCCTTGGGGGGGAGGGGGGGGGAGAGGAGGCGTGCAGATGTAAAATGCAGTTTTGTCAACTTGCTCCTAGATCTGGAAAACCAAGGCATCCCAGCCACTTATATTGAGTCAGGTCTCTTGAGGTTGTTGTAGAGGAATCAGACGGTTTCTAAGGCAATACAGGGCTAAGAGCAGCCAAAAAATTGGCGCGGAGACTCTGGAAGCAGGATGTTTCTGTCACTTTCAGGTCCCACATTTTGAGGTCTTATCAGATAGCCAACAGATAAAAATCTGATAGCTATAAGGGAAGAGGCTGTTCTACAGAGGGACCAGGGTGAGTCAAAATCGCCATCATTATTAACGTGGTTATCCGCATCAGGGATGGTGGTTGTTGACTGGAGCGTCCATTGTTGTAGCCAGTGGAATTACGATCGTGTAGGCAAGTGCAACATCTGCGGACCTGACCTGAATCAAATTCACGGTGGTCGAGCGATCGCAGGCTTTATTCTATCCGGACGAGATTGTAGGATATACTTCCGGACTTGGTATGGCACGGGAAAAGGAACTCCTCGTATTACTGATGGTCTTGCGCTGAAGCCCAGAAGTGGGACTAGGGTTGGGCCAGGGGTCATAGCTAGTACAGGGGAATAGGCGCCCCCTGAAATCTGGCTCAAGGTTACCCGTAGCACAAGCTGTCCGCATTCCCATGTACAACCTCGAACTTTCGAGAGGATGAAATCTTTTTAAAAACACACAAGGAGACGTTACTTGGACTGGTGGGGAGGGGGGGACTGGTTCCTTTCACATAAATGAACCACCCTTGTGCACGTAGCAGAGATTTTCACTGCGAGACCTGGCACGCGACGCAGTCAACATACAGCAGGCGGCGTCTTCTGTGAAGATAAGAAAGCGCTCGGTGAATGCCAAGGCTTACTCGCAAACAAAAGGTATTTTGATTCCTATGCAACCTCAAGTAGAACGCGTCACACACACACACACACACACACACACACCCACTAACCCTCCAGCACAAACACCCCATGGTTATTTTTTCTTATTTTCTCCTCGCCTGAATGCCACCATATTGATCGTCTGAACTAGATGGAAGTACGTGCAGGCCCCTCATTCGTTGGTCAACAGAATACAGTCGACAGGCCCATGCGAACTGTTTTTTCCTCTGTAAATCCTGCCTTCAAAATCTTCTCACGGAGTCAACGAGAACTGGGCTGCCAGCGCTACTGTTTATTCACTCCGTTGTCATAGAAGGAGGCTGTAGCCGCGCATGCGTGAGCTCCTCCCTGTCAGAAAGTAAAAAGGACCAAACCATGGAAGTTACCTGGCGCGTAGATCAATTTACGCACCCTTAGAGGCCGTGGCCATATTTCAAAGGAAAGTGCGAGACAACCGGTGCAGGCTCTAAGTGCTGGCAAGTAATTTTAACCGAAGATACCGTCGCTAACGGAACGGGCTTTCTATAATGGATATCGCGTAAAGAGAGGGATGGAAATGGGGCCGGGGGGAATGTGCGAGAGACGAAGAATGTACGCGGTTCAAGCAGAGCGAAATTCCATAGAAGTGAGTTGCCACATACACGGAAACAGGCTATTCTAGCGAATTGATGATGTACGAACTTAGGTTATGAACAAAACGCAAACCCGCCGAGCATAATCCCAAGCATATTTATCAGGTCGACAACAAATAAGTCTTCAAAGGACGACAAGCAGGCCGCCTCTACCAGTCACATCAGTTCAGCCTCATGTGGCTTCTAGAAAAGGCTCCCAGTCGATTTTGTGAAAGCCATTCCTTCAGGATTGGAGGTGGTCGGGTTCAGTTGGTCTGCTGATGTGATGAGCGGGAGACAGGGGATTAATAGTTTTCATTTCACGCGGAACCGAGGCTGTTGCCATGTTAGTGAGTGTCTTGGGCATCCATGTGTAGGAAAAACCCTGCAACAGGCTCCACTGTTGGTGTGGTGGACCAAACGGTGACGAGAGAGAGAGAGAGAGAACCATCAAACTCGATGACGGAATTGCGGGTCGAATCTCCAAAGCCGGCTAGATCTTCGGCTGGCTACAGCACGCCGTTCGCAACCGCCGTGACATTCTCATCAGCACAAACTCGATGAGGTACAGGGCTCTTGTACGGGCGGAGAAGTGATCTGTGTATAAAAACCAAACAAGAAGCCTCGACCACTTTTCCCTCACCTGACACTGGAGTGGTAGGAAGGAATCCGCGGCAATGAGATCTTGGAAGAAACAGGTATCGTTGGCATCCACACCATGCTGAGACAGATACAAATACGATGGAGCAGCCATATATCGAGGATGGATGACGAAGGACTATTGGGCTGGCTATTCTACGGCTACGTCGCTGCATATGCTTACAGTCGAGGCGTGACAACGTCCTTTTACCAACACCTTGAGACCTCCTTCAAGTCAATAGAAGCGAAGAGACGAGTCCCAGGAAGTAGTCTTGAAGAAGGAGACACGATCACTGGGACAAGAGCTTTATTAGCCTGACGTTTCGGATTCCTGCTCGGACCCACCATCAGAGACAACAGCAGATACGAGTTCTGCCGTATCTGCTATCGTCTCTGATGGTGGGTTCGAGCAGGAATCCGAAACGTCAGGTTAATAAAGCTCTTGTCCCAGCGATCGTGTCTCCTTCTTCAACCTCCTTTAAGTACCTAACATCAATAAATATCTCCGGGATGGCCTCGATCAAGATCGGAAGAGGTAACCAACTGCCAGAATGATTGGAGCAGTTATCCACGGCAACAGTTGAATAGTCACGTCCAAATTAGAACGAACTCATAAGACTCGAGTGCGGACTAATAGTATTAACACACAACTCCTACGACCACTGGACATTTTAGTCAGGCATCGGCCGCAATGAGCATCCCCGGACTCAGTGACATGTGAAAATAGCTAACTGACCCCTCATCTCATGAATAACCGCCAGTACCATTAACATCACCATCACCGACCCACCAATGACACCTGAGAAATCTGTTTCTAGCACCACTTTCTCCCGCACCAGCATCGTTGACGCCACGACCATCTCCCAAGACACTGTTCTCTCCTGTCCTTGCTGGCACCGAACATTTGACTCAACTGCCGGCCTGGTTGGTCACTTATGATTTCATCGTTCAGGAATCGGCGAACCAGTGCCAGCAGACTCAGGGCACACGTGTCCCACACGTGTCTCCTGTCCACGTTGTTTCAGAACATTTGGGCCGTCGTGTGAACCTATTCGGCCATACGTGCATCCTAGTAAAACAACACAGTCCAACCTGCTTGCAACACCTCGCTCGACCTGTGCACATACGCCCCCTAGGTTGCGTATGAGCCTAATCCACGACACGCGCATACACGCCACCTATCAGTAACACACCGTGTTCTGTGCGCAGTAAATACACAGTTCAACTTGCCAATGGCGGCAAAACGTAACAGGCAAGAACTTGCACACCTAATTCTCTGTAGCGATACACGTGTTTTGGCGTGGCCTGACGCCTCGAATTCATGCTCGAACCCCTCGTCAGAGACAGCGTCAGATACGAGTAATTCGTAAAGGAGGGCTTGCAGTGTTTATAGAATGCAGTCGCTATGCTACCGCAAACATATGAAAATTAACGACTCCCCTCCCTTCATCGAGGGTGATTGCTAGTCATTGCAATCTCATCACCCATGTTGGAAGCTGACGTGGTGACTGCTCGGCCATCTGGCTCATCGAAACTGCCATTGCAACCACTGTTTGCCTGTGCGCTCCCTGTGTGGTTAATTATTCTGCCCAGACTAAGTCCCAGCGCCTAATATGGAAAGCAGAGGTCATTACACTTGTTCGTAGACTGGGGACCACTTAAACATGACTCAAGTAGCTCGCGGCTCACGTGTTCACAAGCTAGGGTCCATGGTCATATAAGAAATCCCCCAACATCCTATCGCATACAGTCTAGCATTTCTGGCCTTCTCACGGTGATCAGATTGTCGTGCTTCTAGTCGGACGCTTGAAGAAGGCTCATAGAGACCCTTCTTGGTCTAACCCGAGGGGTCAGCCTTCTGCACTCGCGACAATGCGTTCCACGGTTTCGTTACCTCTGTTTCTTCCTGACTACGCTGCCTATCCTAGTTAACCCCTAACTGTACCTCCTATGCGCAGCGGTCGTTGGATCAGTTTCACTCATCTTATTACTTAAGGCGGATATTTCTTCACGTTCAATCTCATTTTGTACTTGTGTATTCCGTCCTCCCAGGAAGGGTTATTGGAGACGCAAGAACTAAAAAACTCTTGTTAAAATGACATCCCCCCCCAAAAAAAACAAAACCATAAGCCTTCCACTATGCAACAGCAACGCTCCAACCTATTGGTTTGTCACTTAACTGTCATTTCTTCAATTTGTCCAATGCTTTCTTGGAAAAGGTGGGATTAGTTGCGAGATAATAACAACCTTGTCTACTTTTTCATGGGGTCGTTGTCAAAAGAGAACTGCACGTTTAGTGTGTCATTCTGGGTCCGTTTTTTACCCTGGGTAGACGAGGTCGAGTCGAACGTAGCACTCTCTCCCAATGGTGCTAAGACATGGTGGGTTGCTTTGCATGAAGATGATGAAATTGCCATATTAGGGGACACAGGTAGCCTGCGTAACTAGAGGAGCAGGTGACACATGTGGTTTAACTATTCGTAACGATGGAACTGATTACCACACGATGGTGAGCAAGATTTTACTGGCAAAGCTTTCTCAACAGAGCTCGTTGTTATGATACAAGAAGACTTGGTCTCATAAAACAAGCCCCAAGGGCATCAACATGTGGCGTATCATCAAGAAGAACAATACCACGTGCTTTCATCGAGTTGGACGGAAATCTTTTCCACAGACGTAGGGGCCTTCAGTGCGCTGCATTTGGAATGCGTCGCGCGGGTCTGAAGACCATGACTAAAGATGCACATATGAGCTCTTAAATAAGACTCAACAAGTCGCAACGAAATTGGCGCTGGAAATAAATCCTGCTATGTATCTACAATAGCTTTCCGTGTCAGGTTTGGTTCCTTGTTGTTATAGGCAGGACAGTGACGATCGCATGTTAACTCTCCAGATGTTAAACAGTTTAGATTATAACAGTGATCATGAGAAGCCTTTTCTAGTTAGCGTTAGACCTGAGTCTTCGAAGGCACGGATGGAAGCTGGAGAGAGTTGGGATTTGGACCAATCGCCCTCCCGGAGTTACTCTTACAGAAAGTAACGAAAAATGGAACCCTTTTCTAGCTGCTATGCGAAGGCCGGGACGTGAAGTATCAACAACCATTTCAACATTTCTCGTTTTTGAAAATGGGCAGACGAAGTCATTATAGAAAACGTCAGGCCTCAAATAAACCTCCCCCGCGAACGCCTCTCCGCGTACGGGGTGACAACCTTAACAACAGTCGGCGAAATGAGTCCCAACGCATTCGGTACACCCCTACATCGATTAAATGTTGTGCTGTGGACCTCTGCGGACACGTGGACGGTTGCTATGGGAATAGCTATTGGACCTGCTCGTCAAAACTACAAAATTAACCGCCGACGCTGTGAAATTTCAACTTTGTGCTGACCCATGTGTGATGTTCAGTACTATGGCTAATGTATCGACTCCGACATGGCACAGCTCCAATTCAGGTTTTAGCCGTCGTAATTACTGCCTGGGATTCCACCATGAGTGTTTCACCCCGATGAGTTGGATGGTAGTGAAGATGCGATTTCCAGGTGGCATATCTGAAGAAGAAGAGGCGTTCACTGGGAGAGGTTTAGTGGAGGTCTGACGTTTCGAGTGGTTATTTGGCCTACCCATCTTCTGAGCCTTGGAAGCACTCATTACATGGCGCACTTTGTTTGATGTGGAGCCCGCCAATGCCGCCTGCGTGGCTGCATCCGGCCCGCATTTCGCTGTGGCACGAGCTCCTGAAGCCTGAGTTCGTCAGATCTTATCTGGTTTTACGAACCTTGATGGAGTACAGTCATGGTGCGCAACAGTTGTGACTGTAAATTATCTCCGCGGTCGACAGAGGGGGGGGGTGACTCAGGTTACGGTGATATGCGGGTCAGATGCAGCCTCACAAACGTATTGGCGGGCTACGCACCAAAAAGGTGTGCAGATGGCTTTCTAGTCTCTGAAAATGGTTAGGCGAAATAAATACTAATACTAGCGTACTAATAATTATAAATATTTGAGTACAGAATGATGTGCTTCCTTCATAAATGACTCCAAGAAACAGTCTTAATTGACAGAATTGAATTACCGACAAAGACAAGGGAGACTGTCGGTAATTCCATTCTGCCTATATATCATGCGCCGCTGTGCGGCTGCTGCTCGAGAGAGAGCCCTTAAGGCACAACGGAACGAGTGAGTTCCGAATGAACGATCGGTGAGCGCCCCCTACCACAGTCTTAATTGAGCTAGTCTGTAAATGTTATTACGTAGGTGGGTCGAGTTTTGCTAGTAGTCGCACAAATCATTGGTAAGTACGTGCCGAACAAAACTTTATACTTTATACGCACGATTAATTTTGGGTTTCGATTTACTGCAAGAGAGAACGTTAAGAATTCCTGATTTTAGGAATCGAAATCATAAGAATTATTCGATCAAAACTTAGATTTTGCCAGATTCAAAGGATAAAGGACATTTGGGACGAACTGCTTATTTAAAAAAGCACACAAAAGCCTGAATCAACACAAATGGAAATAGAATAGTGAAAAAGAAGTATCTCAGACAGGATGCCCGAGTTGAATTTTGCTGGTCAAATAAACAACAACATAGACAGTCTGGTGGGCTACCCCTAGATGCTGGAAAGAGACACGCAGCACAGAAAGCATCTCTATTTTGAAAAGCTACGTACCACGACTGATACCACAAAAGCTAAATCATAAGCAACAAAGTATGCGAAGGCTTGAGTTAACTCAACCTATATTGACCCGTAACTTACGTAGCTCACGTATCTGCACTTATAGGAACATCGATGAACTTTGCTACAGCGATTCTGAACGCAATCTGAAAATCATGCACCTCTTTCAGCACAAAGTTTGTCTCGCAGTTAAATTGGTGGTTTTAGAAACTGCAGAGCCGGTGAACTCTGTTAGATTGACCAAATATTACAGTTAGTGACCGATCTCATGAAATGTTAGTTGAAATTCCGAAATGCGTGTTCGATTAGGAAGGAACACCTAAGTGGGATTGTAATATCGATTATCTTGCGGCATAATGCCGCAATACTTCAGACACGTCAGCATGTTGGCTTTGACTGCAGTTCTTACCGGCCGCTTGCGAAATCCGCACACGACGAAAAATAGTCATTAAATTAGTATGTTTTTTCTATTAATTTTCAGTGCCCTTGTAAATTCAAGCATGTCCCACAGAAAGCATAAACAAAATATTCTTTTTTGTACGCAGTTGGTAGCAAATTACGCCTTCGTCTAATTTTATACATCAAGATAGAGTAAAGGTTTGTTTTAAAAAAAGTTTCCAACCGGAAGATTTCTTAAATTCATGCACTGTCCGTTCGTAACGTATTGATCCATTTATGAATGCTGCTGTTGAAGTATACAACACAGTCCATGTTTATTGCAAAATTTAATGAGCTGTATGTGGCATCTTCTCAATGGGATAGAGAAGTATGTGATTTTGTCCACACGGAGTACACACAACACGTAGACTGAAACCCTAAGTGTAGGTGTAATGGCAAGTCGAGTCCAAAACTATTCGGGGACAAAAACTTTTGAAAATCGGAAGCTATCCCATCCTCATACAACAGATTTGCAGAAGACGTAATTTTCTTCTAAATGCCTACAAGAAAGCGTATTTTGCTGTATGTTTTCCAAAAAATAGATGTGAATTTATAAAGACGTCGAAAATCACCAGAAAAGTGCTTACTACATAAGTGGTGTTTTTTATCGATTGCGGTTTTTGCAGGCGGCTGAAAAGAGGTACAGTCAAAAGTCGGCGGTCTGAACGGCTGAAATATCGTGAGACTATGCCGCACGCTAATTAATTGCAACTCAACTTAAGTGACCCTATTCGAAAACGCCCTTTAAGAATTCCGATAAACGTTTCATGAAATCCACCACTGTATATTAATGACTCCGAATATTAATGGCAATACTGGAATATTGCAATTTTCTCTTTCTCACGTTTGCTCGTACTATGGCATTGCAATTTTCAGCAGGGTTCTTAGTTCTTTTAACTTTGGGTAAGGTCGTTTTTAATCGAATGCGGCTAAATCACAGAGTAACCATTGTAGCGTTTTCACCGAAGGGCGTTCTTTTTCGCAGCGGAGATCGTCTCTTCGCGTCAAGCAGACCTCAACAGTGCAATCATCAGATCTTACTAGCTTAGCTTGCCAACCGAACAGAGCATAAAAAAAGCGGTGACTGTGTCAACACACTTCAGCGAGCTGCAAAACGTATCAAAACAATCGTTCTTCTTTCTTCCCGAATTCTCAGTCTACGACAGGGTTAGCACATTAAGTGCGTAGTCAAGATCAGAAGTATACCATACTTATCGCGAACGCTGATGTTTACGCGAACGGCAATGAAGAATCTGCGTGCTTTTTCCTTACCAATAAAGGATAACCTGGCGTTCAGTACGTCATCTGCAAGATAGCACAATAGGCGTAGGTGTTTCAGTGAGTGCGAAATTCAAACCTTCCAAAATACACAACCGATTTATAGTTTAATATCGAATGACCTAAAGGAGTCCGCCGCCATTCGCTTAGAACTGGAGACGGTTTCGTAGGGTTGGAAACTACCATGCTGTCAGCTACGCTGCGAGCATGCCAGTTACTGCGCCGGTTATCTTGTAGCGAAACCGGATCACCTCTGACTTTTAATCTAAGCACACGGTGCACGTTGCACAAGCATCACGTAAACTGCAGACTTTCTCCTTACAAGTAATCTGACGGTGACAGATGGCTAGTTTGTTCGCTTAGTGGACGCAAACCTGTGACTGAAGTCTGTTGGAGAAATTCATCAGGTGTTCTAGAAGGAGTAGACGTAAAAATAACTCCCGGAGGACATTAAATCTGAACTCATTTGATTTTATGTTCTCCGGTAGTTTTAAGTTTTTATGTTACGTTCAAAATTAACGCAAAATACGAATGCGAGATGCGGAGAGTATGTTTTCACTCGGGTCCCGCCAGTTCAGCTCGATATTTTCAGGTTTATATTAGCATTGTAAAGACTAAGCGCAAAAGAAATTAAGTCTCGATCGGAGTCAGAACGTTATTGATAGGACCTACCTCTAACTGCCCTAACAAACTGCGTGCGTCGGAAATTATATTGCTCCGACAAATTCCACGTTTTATTTCAATTCTACTTTCAAGTGAATGCAAACTCTTCAGGAAACCGAGATGTTTTAGTCCCGGAATATTACCAAGGGCTTTGGCTGTCAATTTTTGTCAAAAACTTCGTCGACTAGGACAATGTTTGTGCATATCGAAACTCGTAAAACAATGAGAACAAAGTGTCGTTACGTTTTAAGTTGGAACGATTGTCTAGGCCGGTGTGAAAAGCCAAGTAACAGGAAGCTTGATGCTAAGTCATTTGTGATGTCGACCCAGCTAGCAAATGCCCCTGTCCTAAGTGCTTGGCTAAACTGTGAATGACGGGACCACGGCTCAGTCCAACCGGTCGTTCGTTTTCTATTGCCGGCACAACTGATTAATAGTATTACAAGTTTTTAAAGTAAAGATAGCATGGGTGTACGTTCCATAAGTGGATCATTCTATAGTAATAACCATGCAAGTAAACTACTTTCCGTAAACTACTTTCCGGCCGTGGCCCTTCTCGTTCGATCCTGTCTACTTCTGCCCACACCGTGCGGGCAGTATTTGTGATTTTGTCCGGCGACCCATTCTTCCGAAAACACATGAGAGGAAGTAGTTTTGAAGAAGGAGACACGATCGCTGGGAGAAGAGCTTTATTAGCCGGACGTTTCGGAGGCCTGCTCGAACCCATCATCAGAGACGAAAGCAGACACGTGTGGTTCATGCACAAGGGGCTGCAGTATTTATAGGATGCAGTCGCCATGCTAACGCATACCTATGAATGTCCACGGCTTCCCCCTTCATCAGGGATCGTTGCACGTGGTGTGATGACTGTTTGGTGGTCGACATTTGCGTCGTTAATTGCTGCAAACTCATCACGTGCGTTGGATGTTTGTGTGATGATTGCTCGACCATCTGAAAAACCGGAAGACAGCTCCGAACGCGAATGGCCGAGCACGCTGCAGTGGTGCGGAGAAATAGTGCCAGCTCTCGAGTTGCCGCTCATTCGACGAGATCCAGCCACACATTCAAATTCGACGAGGCCGAAACTCTCCCAAGAGGTGACAACCGTGTGAGCCGCGAGCTGCTTGAGTCATGGTTTACTGGCATCCAGTCCATTAACAAGTGCAATGATCTTCCCCTTCCATACTCGGTGCTTAGACTTCGCCTAGACGGAGAAATTAACCACGCGGGGAGCGCACAGGTAAACACTTCCTAACACCAGGGTCGGTGCGTCAGATGGTCGAGCAATCATCACACCAGCATCCAACGCACGTGATGAGATTGCAGTAATTAACGACGTAAATGCCGGCCATCAAACAGTCATCACACCACGTGCAACGATCCCCGATGAAGGGGGACGCCGTGAACATTCATAGGTATGCGGTAGCATGATGACTGCATCCTATAAATACTGCAGCCCCTTGTGCATTAACCATCCGTATCTGCTATTGTCTCTGATGATTGATTCGAGCAGGCGCCCGAAACGTCAGGCTAATAAAGCTCTTCTCCCAGCGATCGTGTCTCTTTATTCAAGACTGCTTTCTGGGACTCGTCTCTTTGCTTCTATTAGGAAGTATTTTACTTGCATGATTGTTTCTACGGAGTGGTTTACGCAAAGCACGTACTCAGGCTATCTGTGCTTCAAACGCTTGCTGTATTATCGGCCATTTGAACCTCGAAGAAGTCCAGTCCAGTGAACGCACGTTTTCGATTATTCCGATTATCCTCGGGTCCATACGGTAATGTGCATTACGGTAAAACAACAAAAGCTAAAAAAAACAGACAAAGCGTATTAGTCGGGGGAGAGAGGGTTTAGGGCGTTCAGGCATGTCAGACGACAGGGGTGATTATAGTCCGGTTCTGTCAGGGACATGGGTAGGGGGAAGGGGAAGAGAGTAGTGGGAGTCTGATAGTGGGTTGAGCTCATGTTTCGTTGCTGTACGGAGACGCGACAGGATTTGGCAACAGACATGATGGACCAACTTCGGCCAGGGGGACTTGAGAACTTATACAAGCGCCTTCCATGAAACCAAGGTGGGGTTGGCTAACCGCACGACTGTAGCAGGCATTTTTCTCAATACTTTTTGATGCCCTTAAACATTCAATTATATTTCATGGAAAATATGCATAAAAATATTCAACCTTCTGCTCATTCGGTAGAAACTTACGTCTTCTTACAATTTTATACCCAAAGGAAGGATATAATTCGGTTTTCAAAAACTTTTCCAATTACCGAATAATTTTGTACCCGACCTGCCGTTACACTTGTATTCACGGTTTCCAAACCACAAGCTGTATGTTTTCCGCGTACGGAAAACCATATATTTCGCCACGGTATTAAGAGGAGCCCGTATGGGGTTCGCAAAATTTTGCAATTGATTTGAGCCATATTGTCAACTTTACAAGCATCATTGGTAAGTGCAAAGACGACGTTTTATTAACGGCCGTTCCACGGTATTAAAAAATCTCACAATTAGAAACTTTTTTAAAACCGAATTATACCCTTCCTTCGAGTATAAAATTGGAAGAAGGCGTAATTGTCTGCCGAATGGGCAGAAGAATGAATAGTTTTGCGCTTGTTTTCCATGAAATATAATTGAATGTTTAAGGACATCAAAAATCATTGAGAAAAATGCATGCTAATTAAGTAGCCATTTTTTTACAGAGTATGCTTTTTACCTGCAGCCGGAAGGAAGTTCGGTCGTAACCCGGCATCCTGAGGTAACTGAATCATTATAGAATTATGTTGCGGGCTGGCTACTCTTACAACCGTACTTAATGCATTTTTTCGAAATGAAGACGTATTTTGGGATTTCGGTTGACTTTTCATGAATTGGTCCATCTACTGTATGGCGCTGCACATCCGTTTGGATAGGTGCATAGTCGTTCCAACAATATAGCCTGCCCCACAGGACTAAGTGAATGCCGGATGCACATTAAAGAAGTCTGAAAAAGCAGCCCTTTTACCTTCAAGACGAAGAGGTGGGGTGCTTGAGGTAATTAGTTTTATCTTGACGACTTTATACGTGCGTACGATAGCGGAGTTTGGGCGACGTCGAAGAACTTCGTTAGTCGGGTCCCTCGAAATACCGATGTTAGAAATAACTCTTTCTTAGCCATCTGCACGTGCCTTTTTGAAAAACGTTCTTCCGTATATCTTGTGATAAAATTATTGGGGAGACCATTCGCTCACAGAGTATGCCGTATGAGGGCGAGTTCGTTCTCCTACGTATCTGGAATGCATTTTCTCCTAGCACGGTTGGTTAAGCAGGGCTGAGCTTCATTTCTTACTTTGAGGGACAATGCTGTTGAAATCTGTTTAATGCCCTGTCCGTGTTTTTTTGCTAAATAAACTTCTACGAATTGCTCCATCAGATTTTCTACTAAGCAGTACGTCCAGAAAAAGGAGACACTCTCCCTTCTCTCTTTGCAAAGTGAAGGTTAGCGCTGGGGAGCCTGGTTCACCCTATCCAAGAGAATGCCCACATCAGGCTGTTACAAAACTGTTATCAACATACGGGGCACAGGAATCAAGGTCCCGTATGACAGAATAAAGCTGGTTCTTCTCTAGTTTTCTGATGAATGCATCCGTTGGCAGTGGTCCAAGGGGTGATCCAATCACTACTTCGCCGATCCGATGGTAAAATTGACCGTCAAATCCAAACTGAACATTCAACTTGCAGCGAAAGAGCAGTTCATTTAGGACTACGGCCAGAATACCAATTTGGAATTCCTGCCTAACATTCTCGTCACACAGATATCCCAAAGTTTCCGTCAGAAAAATATTAGTGAAAAAGACGAGGCATCTATATGAATATGACATCGTTTACCCTATGAGATTTGCACTTGTTGTGGAATCGATGGATTCAAACGTTCCGTAGGCTGCGTGGTGTTATTTTGCATTGACTAGGCTTAGGCAACTCCGCCAGTCCCTTCGCGATTCTGCGATAGAGCAAATGATTAAAGTTCAATATTAGCTGCAAAAGAAGGTCGGGTTTGTGAATCTTTAATAAAACATCGGCCTTGGGCCGGTAGACAGTCTCCTCTGGATTATGCAGACCTAATTTATGACCCACATTCAAGATGTTGAAGACATCTATGTGTCAGCTACATTGTGGGGAGTACTAGAAGTATTATCGAGGATGATATCACGTGTGCGGGACCCAAAGAAAACTCCCCTTTGTCGGTGCGGACGAAAAAACGTTAAGTGATGCGTTATTTCGTTGGCGAACAAGGCCGCATATGTACAAGTAGATATACAGTAAATGTGCTATCTCATGAAATGTTAACCGAAATTATGAAATGAGTTTTCGACTCAAAAAGGCTACTTAAGTAGGGCTCTAGTATTAACTCCCGTGGAGCAAAGTCCCATGATAGTTTAATTACTTCAGGATGTCGGCCTTTGAATGAACTTATTGCTGGCCGCCTGTACACACTGCACTGTAAAAAATGACTACTTAAGTAGCATGAGTTTTTTCATCATTTCGATGTCCTTAAACTATTCATGTTTTCGCTCATTTGGTAGAAAATTGCGTCTTCTTCAAATTTTGTACTCGAGGGAAGGGCATAATTCAGCTTAAAAAAAATTTTACAATTTCTAAATAATCTTGAACCCAACCTGCCCTTACATCTGCATTCGGGGCTTTAAAACAACAAACTATGTGTCTTCTGCGTACGGAAAATCACATATATCTCTGCGGTATTCATATGAGACCATATGATATTAATAAAATTTGCAGTGGTTTGAGCCATATTGCAAAGTTTACAAGTCGTTAACGGTCTTAAAAAATAATAACTTTGTTCTCTTTGGAATACACTTTAGGCAGTTATTTTCATTTCTTGGAACAATAAAATACCTCAACTATGCGCTGATCTTCATATCTTATCAAAAGTACTTTTCGAATCGTAACACTGGGATGCACGTTTCTTAAATCTAGAATCATCGATTATCGTGATAATTCTGCACGTGCAGATGCTAGTGCATACATGACAATCGCTGACAACGACTTTCGTTGGAATTATACGCACTAACGTCACAGTGACATTCATCGGCAGCTGAAGTGCACGAACCTGTCGGAGGGCAAAACTTTGGTAACTGAAATCAGACTTGAATATCTCGAAGGTATACTACGTGCAATTAAGTCGAATCTTGTAATGAACCACGGCAAAATCCAGCAAAATGAAAAACTGTGTCCGCGCATAATGGAAACCGCGATGCACAAAGTTGGTGCTCTGAAAGTTAGACGAAACTCACATGAGGGCGAAGTGGTCGCTCAGAACAGTCCGCCTGGTCATGCAAATAAAGCATCTCAAACATACATATATCCTGAAAGATGTACGGTCTGGAAGAAGTGGCAATTACATCAGCGCAGTTACTTCTCTGAGCTCTAGAGAGATGAAAATTCGTTATTCTACTTATACTACGCGCGGCTTTGCGGCTGCTGGCGGGGCTTGAGAGAGAGAGAGCCCCAAGGCACAGCAGGATGAGTGAGTTCCGTAGCGCGATCGGCGAGCGCCCCGCTACCATTGTATATATCCGATCGCAACCGTCAGAACAACCAGGCCGTGGCTCAGTGGTTAGGACGCTTGACCTCCAACAACAGGTCGAGGGATCAAGCTCTAGGGGTTGCACACCTCGGGGTTGGATATGGCTAGCCGATGGGGACCAGCAAGCCAGAAGCGGCCCTTCCAGTCGCCCTTGTCTTTGCCGGTAATGCTATTCTGCCTATATTAAGATCCGCTGTGCGCCTTTCGCGGGCTCGAGAGAGAGAGAGTCCCAAAGTATGCACAATATGAATCCAGCAGACAAAGTGGCGAGTGAACGTTGCCTTCGATAACTTCTCGTCAGGCCAGTACATTTAAATGGGACGAGGTACACTGAGTGAAAGGATCGATAAAAGTTAGTTTTCGAAATACAGGCTAGGCAAGAGTGGAAGGGCGCAGAACGACCCACAAAACCCACCACAGTGATCGCCGAAAATAAAACGTTGTTCCTTAAAGTCCCTTTCCAAGGAGACGCTGCGAATAAACTCCTAAAAGGGCGCCTTGACGAAGCTGTCTCGGGAACCTTCCCAGCAGTGAGGGTTCGCATATCATTCTCTACTAACCGTATTTTACGCGGAGAAGGGAGGGATAGGCTGCCACCTCAGACAGCCTCAAGGTGCATCTACTCATGCACTTGCTTCTGTGGAGCAGGTTATATTGGTCGTACGAGTCGGCGCTTTTCCTAAAGAATACGAGAGCCTCTTCCCGCATGGCTGGCAAATGGTGAAACTAAGAGAATAAACAGCGCCATGTTTGCGCATGCATTAGATTCAGGGCATCGTGTGGACCCCGCTGAAGCATTTTGCGTGATTTATAAGGTCCCATCGAGCTACCCTAAGCTACTGAGACAGTGCCTGTTTAGAACAGCAGTGGCGACTGCCATCAGGTTACGAAAACCGACCCTATTTGCCAGAAGAACCCCGTTCAGGCTCCGCGTTTACGGTGTTCAATGGTTAACTAACCACATACAACTTTCTGCACCCTCCCGCTCTTGCCTAGCCTGTAATTTAATGCCTAATTTTTATCGATTTTTTCATTCACTGTGCCCCGTCCCGTATAACTGTACTGGGCTGACTAGAAATTATCGAAAGCAACGTTCGCTCGCCACTTTGTCTTCTGAATATAGCCATGGGGATTTTCACAATATGAATTCCTTCACATTCAGTGCTAGCCAGGTTATGTCCTTAAGGACACGCAGTTGGGTCTTATTGCCCCACTCCAAAATCGCAGATTGGGAGCTAATAAAAAAAGACCATTAATTTCGCCAAAGTACCACGGCGTAGAAAATGCCACACAGTGTCCCATGACTTCTTTGAAACTGCAGCCGGAACAGGCTATGTAAAACAGGTCACAACTAACCGGCGCCCTCAATGCAGAGGAAATCGCCAAAGATAGACTCAGTACTAATAAAAGTCAAGTAGGCATATTTTGTTGTCGCTGATTACTTGCCGAAATCCCTAGGTATATTGTAAGCCATATTCGAAAATCACCCGTATTGTACTGATACTGTGGGCAGTCTTTACCAACCCTCACACAGCTATTAGTTAAGGATATTTAAAGGGAAGAAACTAGAGAGTTTCGCTTATCAAAGCAGTGAATTTTTAGTAATTCAACTTAAGCATTATTTGCGTTTCGTAAAAAATCCAGGTGCTTATCCAACAGCTAGTGTACAACATATCCACATCACTGTTTTCATCAGCGACTGTGATCTTCACATTCGAAGCCTGCCCCTCTGAGGCTGAGAATCCGATTTCCGACCAGTTCCCGCGTAACAAAAATATACTACTGGTTATTTCTATGTTTTTGCCTTATTCCCTCAAATTGATTTGGCAGTTTTGTCATCTTTCAAATAAATCCAATGTGGGTGGAAAAACTTGTCAAATCTGTGTACGAAGAATATCATGATGCTAGTCCGCATGGACCGGAAGGATCTCATGATTACTGACTCCGTGAGTGAATTCCATATTGTTAATGGTTGCAGGGAAATTTCCGGACGTCTTGCAAAAGCGTCGTTAGTGGATGGAATTAACATATGATCGCATTTATTCCCAGCATACTCTCTGGTTTCCCAGAGGGATCACCGGTTTCGCTGTTTGCCAACATCGTCTCCGTCCAAAGACACGGCAAATATCATCAGTTAACTTACTGATATCGCCGCCATATACGCCATATTTCATACATTAGGTGGCATATCTCGTGAAATATTGCCCAACATTTTGAAATGTTTCATATTTTTTTTGGGAAGTTTTGCTTTATCAAGGTTGCAGCGTCTGTTGTAGGTAATTTAGACTACTTAAGTGGTATACATATTTTATGTACATGTCAAGGTCATAAATTCAGAAATTACTAGGGGTAGAGCATGGAGTTAAGTATCCAGGACACGACGGTTCGAGATCGGACGCGAAATGTCAATGAACATTTGAGTCGAAGACAGTCGACTGGTGTGCAGTAATCACGTTATGCCAATTTCTACTAAAACGAAGCACTGCCAGTAGCATAATTTTATATGACAGATGGTTCTATCCTACTCCAAGAGATGGCGCCAAAATCGCATAAAGAACACTAGGGGAATCACGAGGGGCCGAACTCCTCGTGGCTGTGTCCAACACTAGCATAAATATCGGCGAAACACGCGTGTGGGCTTTTAGTTAGCATCTGTGTCAGATGTACGGCAGAAGCATATATCGCATGTATATATATATACATATATATTTACTCAGGATTAGGCGCACACCGATCTATTGGCTTCCGAAGCAGACAAGCTCCGTATGGGTGGCAAAGGTCACGAACAGGCAACCTCTGTAGTTGTGCATGCCTTCAAATATATAAATATATAAATAAATACTTATAAAGTCTATTTTCCCCCAAAACATCCCACACATTTCAAATTACATTTTCTAGGATGCCTGTTTTCTAATAGTATATACAGTAGATGTGCTAACTCGTGAAATGTCAACCAAAATTTCGAAATGCGTTCTCGTTTCGAAAAGATAAATTAAGTAATGTTGTAAAACTAATCATGATGCAGCATAAATCTATAATGATCCAGTTACCTCAGGGTGTCGGCTTTCGAAAGAACTTATTTTCGGCTGCATGCAAGATCTATAATCTGCAAAAAATGACTACTTAAGTAGTATGCAATTTTCTCATTGATTTTCAATGCCCTTGAAAATTCAATTATATTTCATGGAAAACATGCATAAAAATATTCATTCTTTTACTTATTCGGTAGAAAATCACGTCTTCTTCCAATTTAATACTCAAAAGAAGAGTATAATTCGGTTTTAAAAAGTTTCTAATTGTGAGATTTTTTAATACCGTTAAATGGCCGTTCATGAAACGTCATGTATCTGCATTTACGAATGTGGCTTGTAAAGTTAACAATATTGCTCAAATCCACTGCTTAATTTTATGATCCTCATATAGTCTCCTCTTAACACCGTAGAGAAATGCATGGTTTTCCGTACACGGAAAATATACAGCTTGTAGTTTTGAAACCCTGACTGCAAGTGTAACAGCAGGTCGGGTTCAAAATTATTCAGGAATTAGAATAGTAATCGGTGTGCACCTTACCCGCTACCGTTATATATATATACATGTCAAGCAGGCGTGTGACCCTCACTGTTGTGGTAAGGATCTCACACGATCCCATTCTGTCCGCCCGCCAGCTTGCTACTGGCGACAACGAACGCTTTGTCATAGGACACATACCACATATAATACATAATACACATATACACATACATATATACATAATACACATATAATACATACATAAGTACTCTGTTTGTGAATGACAGGATGGTTACTCTCAAAGTGTAGGATGACCTCTGAATACGCCTCTTTGCGATAAGCTGATATGTGAAGTTATCCACCGGTTTTTCGACGTACAAGAACATCGAGGAATGGGAGTTGTCCATCAACCTCTGTTTCGAAAGTAAACTCGATTCCTGGAAATACAGAGTTGACATTGGTATGGAGCAGATCTAACCGATGTTATCTAAATATCGCAGCCAGAGTTTTGGGTTAACCATGGGAAGAGCTATGGTTTCTAATTCCTGCATTACGGCTTCTGTCAGAAAACCGTATATGGGTGAACCCATGGAAGCACCTCTTAATTGCCGGTAGCATTGTTTGGGGAGGAAGAATATGTCTCCAGGCAGAGATCAAGGAGTTGAAGTAATGCCTCTGGAGACACCTCAGGAGTGTATGTTTGAAGTTCTTCGGTGCAGCTCTTCGTTAAATCTATCGGAATCGAAGTGAGGAGCGAGACCACATCAAATGACACCATTATCTCGTCACATATAATGTTGACACCGTTTACTTTATCTAGAAACTCTATTGAATCCCGAATAAAGTTCTCGGAGTTCTTCGTAAGTGGATGTATTTAGCGAAATAGCCACTTCGAGATCTTATTTCAGTTTATTTGATAAGGATAATGGGCAAAGCCTTTGAAAACCCTATTGATTATATGTCAGTTCGTTGGAAATAACTGTACACGAACAATAAAAATATTCGCTTTTAAAACAGTACTTGGTTCATTTGAGTAGCATTGTGTCAGAGAAAATAGTTGGGAGGTCGTGGGGTATTAGTTCAGATTCAGACTGTCGAGGGAAAACAGGGGACACAAATAATTATCCAAGCGTTTCTTGGAAAGTTGCAGAGACGTAGCCTCCTCGACTGACTGAGGGAGATCGTTCCATTTCTGCACTACCCTCTGCGTGAAAACTTCAAAGCGAAGATTCCGCCTGGACATTGTTGTCCGTAACTTCATCGAGTGACCACGAAGAGAGGGCGAAAAGTGCCACTGAAACATGTCCTCAAAATGAAGTCCATGCTCAAGGCCATGTATTATCTTGTAGACAAGGATAGGATCACCTCTTTTCTACCTGTAACACAGAGGGAATAAATTAAGGCAATTCAGCCTGTCTGTGTAGGATTGGCTTTTTAGACCGTTTACCAGCTTTGTTGCACGACGTTGTACTCCTTCGAGGCATGCTTGGCCCTTTACTAGCCATGGCCGCCACGCTTGTACTCCGTACTCTAGGTGGGGCCGGAAAAAGGTGTCGTAAACTTTCCCAAAATGTTTTGGTCAGAGGTTACGAACGCCCTTTTGGTTGCATGCAGCACTCCCATGGCGTTTTTTGCAGCCTTGTGGCACTGCAGTGCTGGTTTCAGGTTGTTCTGTATCCAGACTCCGAGATCCTTCTGTGAAGATTCTGCGGGAGTCTTATATCTTTCAGGTGGCATGTCCCCAGGCTCTCATTTGAATGAGAGTTGGTTGGACGCAAATGAAGGACGGCACACTTCTCCACGTTGAAATCTAGAAGCCATTTCTTCGACCACGCTTGCAATCGGTGCAGGTTATCTTGAAGGGATCTCTGATCATTCGGACCCTTAATGACTTGGCAGAGCTTAACGTCGTCTGCAAACATTATTTTGCCGCAGTCGAGTTCCTGAAGGCTGGCATTAACATATAGGGTGAAGAGCAATGGTCCCAGAACTGAGCCTTGAGGCACACCACTGGTCACGTTCGCCCATTCTGGCATGTCATCCCCGATACAGACACGTTGTTTTCGACCAATCAGAAACGCCCTAATCCAGATCAGAAGATCTCCGCGGATGCCGATGGCGCTCAATTTGTGAAGAAGGCGTTGGTGCGGGACAGTGTCAAAAACTTTTCGGAAATCGATGTACACGACGTCGACCTCAAAACCCTCTTCTAGAGCCCTGGTGCAGATCTCCAGACAAGCCATTTTAAAAATCCTGCAAGATGTTATTTTCCTCACAAAATTGCTGTATAGCGCTCTTTTCTAGAGCTTCCATCGTTTTGCATGGGAGGCAAGTTATGCTAATAGGCCTGAAGCTGCTGCTGTCATTTTGCTACCTTCCTTATGTAAGAGAACGAGGTTAGCTGTCTTCCACTGTGATGGTAGCCGTCTTGCTCTCATTGACAGCTGAAAGAGAGTCGAAAGAGGCCTTGACAGCTGCGTTGATAGCTCCTTAAGTATTAGTCCGGGAATTTCGTCGGGTCCGGGAGACTTATAAGGTTTTATTTGACTGAGGACGCGTCTTACTTCTTCGACGGAAAAGGCGACGGTTTTAATGATGACAGTATCTTGGCGCATTTGAAGCTCCCGACTGTATCGATCCATTTCAAACTGTTGATTATCTTCTGAGGACTCCTTATTAAAAACCGATTGAAAAAACTGAGACAGTAATCGCATTTTCTGTGGCCCTTCAACTAATAAGTTTCCGAGGCTATCCTTTAGATTCGGGAGACTATCGGTCGCAGTGTAATATCAGTTTTATGAATTTTGGGAAGACCATGTATTATCATATATCTTGGCAATTATTGGTTCGTTCTGTTTTAAAGACTTGACAAGAACTCCCAGATTAAGTTCCTTTTTGTAAGGCGTTGTAATGTTTTTTTTCAATATACGAGTTCTGCGATTTTGTGGGGTCGGCAGCTAGAGGTTCGTATGTTGAATCATCTTTTAAGAGTGAAATCATTTTCCCTGTGTAGTCTGTTTTGTTCAAAATCGTGATGGTACCTCCTTTGTCGGCAGGTGGGGATGATGGTGTATTTGTTTTGTTTTAAGGCTTTAAGGGCTTTCGTTTCGTCGTAAGATAGCTTTGAGAAATTGCTTCGGTTCCTTAATGCCTGTACAGTGCTGCTGCGAATGGTAATTGCTGTTCTTCTGCGGTAAGACTGGTTGATGATATGACTGGTTCGAAGCTGGCAAATAAGACCAAATAATTGGAGTCAGATGGATTGTACTTCATTCCTTCGCACAGCAGGTTTTCCTCTGTTGCCGTTAAGACCCTAGAGGATATGTTTATGACTTTCTTTGGACACGTAGATTTAGTACATCCTTTATAAGAGATAATTGCCCAATTTTTGTCCAAGTTGCTCCTCTTTTTTAGACGATCTAGTTCCGCGACATGTATGATGGTTTCCTTTAAGGTCTCAAATAAGTGAGTAGGCAGGCGATCATGACAAAATTGCATGTAGTGCTCTTTTTGCTCTTTGAATATGAGAATTCGCTGGTGGGCATCAGTTATAAATGCTCCAAACATTTGTTGGCCATACCGGGTAGCAATCTGAAAGCCCTGAGATGACTGTAATGTTAGTGTCACTCGCACGGACTTCGGTAGAATACTATTGCTCCGACATCGGTGTGAGAAGGATAATTGTTCTCGCGTCAAACTTTCGCGAATTGCACATTTTCCCATCGTCAAGTATAAAGCAAAACAGTCTGCTCGAAGTTCACACGTATAAACTGAAAAACAGGCATCCGGGAGACATAATTAGGAATATGGAATTCTGTGGGAAACAGTAGACATTATTGTGTTAATTTTCGAGACTGGCTCCCCTGCTCGTCTTCAGACAACGGGCGTGCAAAAACAATTCAGTTCTACACGGAGTCTATGATTGTTTAAAGTCATCTTCTCAGGATAGGTTGGTTTCGATTGAATCTGTCCTTAACGATTTTGTATGTGGCATCTAGATAGATATGCCGGTTGATGCATGCCTCGTCTGAGTGCTTTTATATATTTAAAAGCATTCGCAAGTACATCATTTCGTGCTTTCCTTTTGCAGTTACTAAGATTTCCTCCACATTTTGCGTCCTATGGACATGTATATGTTGGTTCTGTTGGCATTTTCCCAAGAAAACATTTCAGAATTTCAGTCAGCATTCGGAAGGTTGGGCTTTTTTATGTTTTTAATCATTAACTAATTTAATAAATGTAGCCTAAATGTGCTTTTCTGTCCGGCCGTTGTACTCAGTTGTAGGAACCAGCTCTGGATAAGAGAAGTCATACGCTCGAGGGATTGTGGCAGACAACTGTTTTGACTGTACCTATTTTTCGTAAACGTTTTATAATTTTTTGATTATCAATAAACTATTCATCTTAATTTGCTTGCATCCCTCGTTCTATGTCGTAAGGGAGTGGGTGCTGAGTAGAACGTCCGCTAGCGCACTTATGACTCCATATGATAGTGGTTCCATCAGCAAGACGTCGCTGGGTTTCAATGCGCCTCATTAAAGGGTGATACAGTACTCGCAGTTTTGTAAGGAATGCACTGCGGGTAAGAAAAAAGATATCGTAAAAGGGGCAGGAAACGACGCAAAATTGGGCAGCCCCCGCAAACATTTTTTTATGGTGGCATGGCCAAAGGGGACTAGCGCGTCCATAACCCCAGCGTAGCCCCTCGTCCGTGGTTTTTCACACATGTTAGAATACGCGCACATCCCTAGTCTGCCCTCCAGATGCTCTAAGTGACTTGATTTATGTAAACATTAAGATGACCGTTGATTGAACAATGGTTGTAACGCGATCCTGTTTTATTCGTACAAGTTTATGTTAGGTATCGATATAAAAACTGGGCCAATATGGGTTGCAAATGAACTTTTCCGAACTTCTGCTTGAGGAGGTTACAATAAAGAAATATGTAAGCTGTCGAAAACTTCGAATAGCTTCCTCTTGGGCATGAGGTTTGAAAAGTTAGGACCCGTTTTCTCACTTGGACTACATATAGCCGTTCTAGAGGCGCATGTGACAGCATCCACAGCGTGTCCCATGGAGTGGACTTAGGACGACAGCTTGCATGTGACTTAGTTTACAGCGAGGCAAACCCGCGCCTCATTTACTGCACTTTGTCTTTTATTGCACAAATGGCTCCGGCGGCAGGCGAGGGCCAGAACAACCGGAGGCAGACCCGAGGACAGTGACCGACAACGCATGACAGTTCATCCACGCATGTCACATAAGACCTGCTCTTATCAGATTGTACAGGGCCTTATCGAGGACGGACCTGACAGAACGTGCGTGAGAGTGACATAGAGACCACGTTGAGAAGTCGCTGAGTCTGATTCTCGATTCCGAGAAGGAGCGAAATGCCCCATAAACTGTCAACAACTTCAGTTTGTCATGGTAAGTCCAAAAACGGAAGATTTACTATAATAAGGAGACTGATCCAAAATTGTCGATTTTACTCTTTTCCATACACCAGTCGGATGTCCGGACCTGTTGGCCATCAAGTTCTGGGGTTGGGTGAAACCCTCATCTTGGTGCGCCGCCACAATTCATCCCATCTGTGGAAGTAGGTATGGGCTTGCGTGGGATCTGTGAAGAGTGATTAACGCGGGCCATGGTTCAGTCCGACCACCATTTTAGTTCGGTGCGTCCACAACACAGAAGTGCAGTCACACAATAGATCAAAGAACTTCGAGATTGATCCTTCACGCTCGCGAAACAACACAATGTATACTAATAATGTAATAATGTATACTAATAAGGACCGGCATTATGCATGAAGGAAAGTCTATTGACATGGCCTTGCCTCCCAGGATTAGCGTCCACTCTCTTTGCAGTTGCAACCAGGGACCCGCAAAGCGCGCTAAAAGCGCAACCACAGCAAAATCTGTTAGTTACGAGGACGAGTCGTGCACTGGGTGCTCCTATATCCTTCTGAAAGTCCAAAAACTTAAAAAAGAGCTGGCTGCTTTAAAGGAACTCGTGCAAGTGAACGATGGTAGGCAAAACGCGGTTATCAGCGCTAGAGTCAGCAAGACAAAGGGGAAGAGCAAAACTCCAAAATAGCCAAAGAACAAGGTTAGTTGAAAACCTCAATGCAAGGACGCCGATACTAATGACAATGGGCAAATAGCAACAGAATCCCCTGTTTCTACGGAAGACAACCGAAGCGAACCGTCAAGTCCTCTCAGCCATTCCGCGTGTTCAGTAGTACCCTCGGTTGGAAGGGAGGAAACGAACTCATGGCAAGATGGGATGGGTAAGCACCACAACAGGAGTATAAAACCCCAGACGACTCCGGTGGATCTCCTGAGACCTTCAGCTGACAAGGCCGCCGGAAACAGAACAAATGAACCCCTGGATCGTCAGCACTGCGTAGTCGTTCAGGGCCTAGCGGAGTCGAATGCTCCTACCCCGAAGCAGAGGATTTCCACTGACCTCGATATGCTTCAACACCTTCTGAACAAAATGCTTAATTCGAATGAAAGGGTTACTATTCACGCAGCCTTCAGGATCGGAAAGAAGGTGAGCGAACAATCGGAAAGTGTGCGGCTACGACCTCTGAAAATCGTTTTGGGCAGTGAAGAGGAGGCAAGCTTACTTCTGTCAAGGAAAAGCTGCCTCCGAAACTCTCACAAGTAAGTTTTTTTTCAACCGGACTATTCTCCAGCGGAACGTCTGAAACGCCGCGAATTAGTGACGGAGCTGAAGAGGAGACCTGCAGCAGGAGAGAGCAACTTGGCTATTTTCAGGGGACGAGTTATACAGAGGAATGCGATGTTGCTTTGGAACCAGACAGTCATCATAATGGCGGCAGCAGCATAATATTGTCAAGCCCAAGACAAACCGAACGGAGTACTATCGAATGTTGCAAACTTAAATTCTTTTACACCAATGCTCAAAGTCTGTTTTCCAAGCTCGATGAACTGAGAATACGGATAGCCGATACTCCTCCCGATGTTATAGGAATAACAGAAACGTGACTGTCAGAGAACGTGGGTGATTGCGAGGTAGTTCTAACAGGATACCAATTGTTTAGGAGAGACAGAAGGGGCCGCCGGGGTGGAGGAGTTGCCATGTATGTAAAGTGCCACTTAACAGTGTGTGAGAGGACGGACAAAATTTCTAACGATACAGAGGCAATTCGGCTGACTATAAAGGCACGGGGATCTCAGTCCCTCGA